GGTAACCTTCCCTCGACTGCCGAGTGGCGGGCGGGCGGTTCTCGCATCCTCTCTCTCACCTTTTAAACGTATGCGCTCTAGGATACTCGCACTACAACGAAACAAGGAAGAACGGAGGTGTTGAAGGAGAACAGAGGATGTGGAGAAAAAGATGAAGGAACGTCCCATCTCAGAGCTCACATGGGGGAAGGAAAGATTCACAAGACTGCCCAATAGGGACCGCCTGGAGAAGGAGAAAGCTGACGAGTGGGCAGAACGTCTCAAGGTTCGAGGGATTAAAGTGTGTGATCGAATGGCGAAAGAAACGTTATGTTCCAAAGGCTCATGCAATGAAGGAGCTAAAGCACCCATTCGACGCAGAGGAGCCAGTGACGGAAGAAACGCTCCAAAGGCTCTTACCGTCGACAACTGCTCATGCAATTTGAAAATGGAGAGGCACATGTATTTGACCCTCAGCCCGCTGTTGTTCGTACTATCACTTCAGTGTTTTATTATCGGAATTTTTCATTTTTAACTTTTTAATCCTTTTCTTTGTTTTTTTTCTCCTGGGACAGCCCAGCACCTTATCCTGCAGCCAGGTGCCACTGGGAATGAGGATTGGATTACGCACCGGAATCTGAACGTGTTTTGTGACGAGATGCAGACAGCAGGTCACATTCGATGCTCTACACCTCTCCACGGACACGTCCAGATTCAGGCATTCAGTCCACTCATTCAGTCCACTCCCCTTCGCCAGTGGGACCTCACCGCCGGACGACCTCTTTGCTAGTGGGACCCGGACCGTAAAATTAAAAAAAAAGAGTACGAGAAAACAAGGAAAACAAGGGAAAAAGCAGAGGAAGGATGACACGCATAAATCGAGAAATGGTCCAGAAGTTTTTTTTTTTTTTTTAATAAAATAAAGAAAGATGGGGGTCATAACCCGACCGCCCCCTGACATTCCTATGCTTGGACCCAAATGCAAAGAAGGTATGTTATTATTACTATTTTTTTAAAGAAAAGGGTAATTTTGTGACTTCATAGTCTCCAACTTCCATACTTTGTTTGGAAAAAAAAAAAAAAACACTCCTTCGTGACCCTCCATATTCTGTGACTTTCCAAATGGATTTTTTTTCTCCCTCCGCCCAAATCACTCTGACCACCAAAGGGCCTAGCCTCAGTTGGTACACGCATGACCTGTTGAAATACAGACGCAAGTTCGAGTCCAGGCAATCAGATGACGACCAGAATAAAATCATTCTGAAATACCTGGGGTCGGTCAGTTCAATCATGATATCTCAAGGCTGTCCTTAAAAAAAAGGAAAAAATCACTCTGCACAACAAAATATTAATAATCAATTCACTCTGCACAGCAAAATATTAGTAATAAAAATAAAAATGAAATAAAAAATAAAAATGAAATAAAATAAAATAAACAGAGTTGCATTAGAATTTTTCTCTTTCAATTAAAGAAGAGTCATCTCGAGCAAAATAGCAAACTGTTTGCAACTTTCAGATCTAATTTCTTTTTTTCAGGGTGTTCGGGGGAGTTGGGGGGGCGAAGGATTTCAGAAATAACTCCCACACCCCGTTTTCCCAAAAAAAAAAAAAAAAAAAAAAAAAAAAACGAAAGAAAGAAAGAAAGAAATAACTCCCACAGCACGCAAGGGAATATATTACACAAGCAATTAACTATAATTACTGACAAAACCAATCAAACTGCCACTCACACGTCTCCTGAGCCATCCATCTTGGACTTGTGATCATATAGTTATATACCCTGACCTTTAAATTAGACATACCACTAAAGTCATCTTACTCCGCTCCACCAACCTGCACCTGCCCGCAGAAAGACCTCTCACCACTCCTCTTAACAAGCTCTAAATAAGGATTACCTGAATCTATCCATAATACCTGAATCTATTCATTATACCTGAATCTATTCATTATACCTGAATCTATCCATTCATTTCAACAAGTACAGAAGCGCCAGGGCAAAAATAAGACGCAACAACAGACGATGAGCGATAGGAGAACTGGCGATCCCGTCAGAGCATGGAATGCAGAAATAGGCAATGATATATGGGAATGTGTAGCAAAGGAGTGATTGGGAGAGAGTCGGGGGATAGAATGAAGACGGCTCTGAACGACGTACTGGGACTAATAATTAGGGACCCATGGCTGATACCAGTCTGGTAAAAGACGTTAAAAATGTATATAATAAAGACAAAGTGACAGAGTTCCAAAGAGGCCTATTGTTGGTTGCCCCCGCACGGCAACAACTGGATTAGTACAAGTCCGTCTTCCTCCGGCTGAACTTCTATTGGAAGATTTCCCGTTCTCTTCCTTTCATTTCGAATGGCTAGTGCTCCTCCTTTCAGGTTAGCCAATGCTCTCTCTCTCTCTCTCTCCCTCTCTCTCTCTCTCTCTCTCTCTCTCTCTCTCTCTCTCTCTCTCTCTCTCTCTCTCTCTCTCTCTCTCTGTGGCTTCTTTTCAGGTCAAGCACTGGCAAGCACTGCCTGATCTATTGTTATTAGATTCTCTTCCACCTCTCCATTTTGTACACCCATCCTCCTATGCTCCACGCGCCTGGGTATGTGTGCTGAAATAGAGAGGAGCAAGAAGCCGGAACAAAGAGGAAACAAACGGTTTCGTCAGAACATGACTGTACAATTTCATGATCTCTCTCTCTCTCTCTCTCTCTCTCTCTCTCTCTCTCTCTCTCTCTCTCTCTCTCTCTCTCTCTCTCTCTCTCTCTCTCTCTCTCTCTC